GGGGTTGGGTTTAGGGTTTTTGGTTAATGGGGTTTGGGGTTAAGAAATGTTCTGGCATTGGAATCAACGCTGAGCCTTTGTTTCTCCATCACATCCTCGCCCCGCTGGCTCCATGCCAAGCAATGTTGTTTTTCATGGACTCCGTCCTATAGTATAGTCCCCCTTAAGTANNTAGAGTATGGGGTATATGGGGATCATGTTATAATATACCCAAAGCCATCTTCTGTCTACGTAAGGGGACTATAGTCCCCACGGTAGCTGCATTTTCTTGTCCAGTCCACTAGCCTCTCTTGAGCTAACCAGGACTGACAGGAGATCATGCGTTCTTTTGAAGGATGGAGTACATCAATTCAACTCCTTTTGCCAGAAAGCATTTAAAAGAGCGGATCCCCTATCCTGTCATCCTACAAAGGGAAGGACATTCGTGCAATCTGGAGGGCTGTATCCTAGAGCCGCATTCATCGGGAGCCTGGCGCGGTTTAGGGTTTAGGGTTTCCGCCCAATATTAGGATCCATGATACCCGAGCCCCAGTCCGGCAAGTACAAGATTGCTCTGCGCCCTTCTCCGACCTGGTAGTAGCCTTGGCTGCGCAAAAGGAATTAGGAACTCCCCTGAGGCCTAAATCCAACGGAGTGTATCAAGACTGTAAGCACCATTCCAGTAAGTTCCCTCCACCCCCATAAAAAGACTCCTAGGTAGGACGGCTGAGTCATTGCAAAGCATCTGTTTTAGTCCATTCTGGTGAGGGATGTTGCTTGTAACCCTCTCCACGACTGACGGATACCCCACACTGCCAAGTGATACAAGTTCCCGAATATTTCACGACACTATACTGGGAACGTGTCTCATGATGAAGGTGCGGGAAAACTGACAAACCCTAAAACCTACACCGCTAACACTGAACGGTCAATCCCAAACGCTGAGCCCTAAACTCTATGGCCAGGAAAGGATTATCTCAGATCCTGCTCACTACTACTATTACTAGTACTATGACTATTATGGTATACTACTCCGGCTGAAACGAGGGCCTGGGACTGTCTTGTCTTCGGGTGGAGAGCCAATCGCAGGAAGGGTGATACCATTTGGGATTTAGGGGGGGCTCATTTGGGATTTAGGGTGGAGCTTAGAGGAAGCCTGTCTAACAACGAGGGAATAGGCAAGAAGTATCAACAGAGCAGTACAATCGAAGCTAATTCTGAACCCTAAATCGGCCGAGCCTATATACTCTTCCCTGAAATTACATAGAACTCCTTTGGAATTCCATAAGCCGGGCATCGCCCTCTACTACCGGACCGAAAGCCCCGAAAGCCTGAAACCCTAAACCCTAAACCATAAACCATAAACCCTAAACCCTAAACAACTGAACCCCTGAGCTGTGGCACCTGCAGCTCATTTGAGCTATAGTCTAAACTCCTTAAAAGGGGTTTTATAGGGGATTATATAAGGGACTACTATAGGGCTTATTAAGGGGGATCCTAGGACCTAGGAGTTTAGACTATGGCTCATATGGTAGTTGTTAAAAATACCGGTCCCCAAAATGGCCATACTGTAGGTTCTTGCTGGTTAGGATCCCCCATTAAGCAAGTGTATCTCATAGGGTGCCTTTTTTCTGCGGACCTTTACCCTAAACCATAGAAAATCCGCAAGCATAAGGCAGCCTTGTTGCTTACCCCCTGTGCATCCCCCACCGCCCCTTGATCCTTCAATGAGCTTGCATGCTTTGGTTGCAGAACCCACGTTGTACCCCTTAAGTAGGGGTATGTTAGTATATAGAGGGGGTGGATGGAGGGTCCAGGGTCGGTAGATGCTTGGGTTAGTACCTTTCTCCGAAGTTCTCAAATCTGACCATCATTGATCGTCTTGAATTTTCACGCTTTGGTCTGTAGATTTTTCCAAAGTTCTAGGGGGCATAGGTTTCGCGCGAGGAAGCCTGCTACACGGCCATCATCATGTCACAGACCTTCTGTGAGTGCGTCTCAAACTTTTCGGTCCACAAGTTTACCAGTCCTGACTATATGGTTCTTTCTTGTTCCAGGCTGCTTGCGTCCAGGATGTGTTTCTCTTGAGTTTAAGATCAGGAGAATCTGGCAAAGGCCTCTTTAGCCTTCATCTGGCGAAATTCATCAAGGCTACAAACCCCTGACAAAGCACATCTCTGCCCCCGCTTCCAAAAGGCAAATCTTGTGATGCTTTTTGGGGCATCTTTCTTTGGAGCTTTTCATTCTTCCACAGCGTGTAGGGCCCCCTACAGCCTAACACTGGATATTGTCCACCTCAACACCCTAAATTCCCCTTGAACCCTGTAATCCCTGTAACCCCTTTAAAGGGACCCCAGAATTCCAACATGATTTACAGATTACAAGACCACTGCACAATGTACATAAAGGGCTACTACAACATTTTCTGTGCATGATGTGTTCTAGGAAATCTACGCCTCAGTAGCTGCTACGAATCCTACAGCACATGAAAACTCAGTCCCCGCCACCGTTGGGCGTGTTCGGAATACTTCTGCATGCGGAAGTATGTCTATACACTGCATACCTATGCGTATATCTGCACAGACATTGTGCATGCCCACAGAGATGGTACATACTTGAAAAGTGCAAATCTCAAGCTACGAGCATCTATGAACCACTCGACACTAGCCCTGGGAATGTAGCGAGCAAGTAATTTTTTGGGACTTCAAGGATAAGAGCCGCCTCCCAGAAGACTGTGGCTAATTTTTGTCAATTTGCAATGAGGTCCGTTGAAGCAGATCGGCTTCTACCCCTACCCTTAAGCGGTATAAAACTTGACACCTTTAGCCCCAGGTCTTCTGTCCTAAGCCTGAAGCCCTAACCTCAACCCTCATTCCTAAGCCCTAAACATCCGCAATCCGTAGCAAACCTATCTTGCACTCCCAGACCCCTGGGAGGATCTAAAAAATAGATCCCCTACATAGACCCATTATAACCCCTATATAATCCATATATATATCTTTTTTTGCCCCCTTCTAGGGGATCTAATTTTTAGATCCTTTTTGGGGGTCTGGGCCTGGGCTAGGCAGTCCTCATGGTCGGCCGCCAGATACGGCTCCGAGCCAGTTGGGCAACACCCGAGCATGGCTCCAGAAAAGGTGGCGAGCAGGCAAAAGGTGAATAATGAAGGAAGACATGGAAGAGAATGGCACATGAAATGGGAAGGCTTTAAGGTCTAGGCTCCCGCGGGAATAGAACAACGGAGGATCAAATGGAAAAAACGCTGAACAATTGCCTGGAAACTAGGATTATGTAGCAGAACCACAAAAAGGCTACTTGAGGCTAAATAGTAGGAACCTCGAACTTTGGATATGCCTCATAGACCTACCTTTTCTGAGGCCCCGTCGGGTCACAAGTATACACTCTATGTACCTGGGCCGTTTTGAAAGGCAGCGAGCAGGCAACAAATCACCAACTTCCATGACATCCCTCGAGCACTCACGTCAATGCTCTGCTGCATGTGTAGATGGCCCGCTAGCTTAATCAGTCAGACAATCAAACTCACCCTGCTTCCGGGCACCTATTGCTTGTAACGGAGCGTATGATCACCTATTCTGAAGCTTCAAGCCATGTATTTCCCTAGGTTTTGGACGAGAAGCAATTGGAATCCTTATTCTTGGGACTCCCAAAACCAACTGGGGTTTAGTAGGAAATAAGGAGACATTTTGGAGGGATTACATTCCCTCATTCCCTACTCACCAGGGACCAGGGACCCTTGATTTGCGAAACCCTAAACCCTAAACCCTAACTACCATTTGCTGATTTGCTGCCAGAGGTCCCAGTTTCTCAGGGCCGCGTCCGGAGCTCTCACAACAAAAGGACCCGACTATTTGGCATAGATGAGCGCTTCCAAAGATAGGGGTTCCGTTTTTGTGGGAGTTCCTACAGTAACTTGCTGGTGGTTCGCAGGGAAGAAAGGAGTACCATCCCTATATCAGCCCTACGTCAAACATTCCCTTCTCGTCTACTGCCCCCCTGTAAGATTTGGAATCACAACTCCAATATTACCTAAACCAAAAATCTTATCCCTACAAGCACTACACCCTGTACCAGGCCGGGGACCCAACAAACTTGCTTAGAGATTAGGGTTTGGGGTTAGGGTAGGGTTTGGGGCTTAGTGGGGTTGAGGGTTCAGGGATTGGGGCTTTGGGTTCAAGGGTGTAGGGTTGGGATTTAGGGTTTCAGGGCTTAGGATGTAGGGTTCAGGGTTTTGGGATTCGGAAAGTCCTTGGTTTCAAAGACATCCAACCTTCAGACCACTTTTTTTGAGGGGCCAGGCTTACAGCGTACACGGTTTAGAGGCTGGGTTGCTCAGGGGTAAGCCTTTCGAATCTAAAGTCGGCTTCGAGGGTTTTGGGCCTGTTAGGGTTTAGGGATTTAGTGTTTTTTAGGGTTTAGGGGTACCCAAAACCTTAAACCCTACATCACCCTATATCCTGAAGCACTTCACCTTGCTCTCCCATAATCTCTCCTCCTCCACCTCTGGCCTCTTTGCTGTCGCCTCCTGCGGATGCAGCAACTGCTTTGTCGAGCCCTGGGGATACAATGTGATTGAGTACCCTAAACCCTAGGCCCGAAACCCAAACCCTAAACCAGTAGGGCTTTCTGGAGTTCATCAAGGAGCCGAAATTTCATTTAGGGTTGAAAGTGAGGAGTTTGGAGCTGCATGTGTGACATCTCAAGCATCAACCCCAAACCCAGAGAGCTTGTGGCCCAGGTGAGGCAGATTGATGGGGTTGGGCACAACGAAG